TTCTGACTTCGCTCGACTATGACTCAATTCTCATGCCTAAACTACTAGTAATTCCTGAATTTTTACAATGATACCAAGTAATAAAAATATATATTAAATAATTTATTGAAACTAAATTAAAAAAAAAATCACATAAATTGAGGTTGAGGTTACATATGTTATTCGTTGTATAAGGACACAAATCAGTTACATAGAATTTACTTGTGACATCATTTGTTACTTGTGGTCTAGTGACATTAAATTGTAATCTCATAATCAATGTTGACTTTTTGTATTTTATTAAATTGAGAAAGTAATTATGAAAAAAAATATGATAATACAATAATAAAATTTGATAATAACTCTATATAAAATTATAATAAAAAATCACATTATTTCTAACTTAAATTTCCTCTGTGCTTGTAGACACATACATCATACATCTGTACATATAACACCATCTATGGCTAACACGTGACAGCATTGATTGCCAACTATAAATCCACGTGAATACTTTGAGCTGAATCTGCAACTAACACGCAACCGAATGAATTTTTATTAAATTAGTTAAGCTAAATTATAAGATTGAGTTAATACTCAAAATAGTCCTCGACTATAGTGGTTTTACTCGATTTTGTCCTAAACGATTTTGGTGAACTAATATAGTCCCAGACTTTTGTATTTTTACTCACTATAGTCCTCCGTTTCTTAATCCGTTAAGTTAGTGTTAACTAGAAGGTCAATTTTGTAATTTCATATGTATTCCACACAATTCATACCCTTTCATATATTCATACGTATTCCACAATGTTTATACATTCATATCTCAATTCCTTTATACATATATTCATACCAGGACTATGTGGTCCAATGGTATCCGGGTTGGACTTCCATTTGAAAGGTTGTGAGTTCAAGCCTCAGTGGAGGCGTTATTAGCTCTTTGTGTTTCAGTAGGTTGAGAAAGTATAGAAAAAATACAATAGGCTTGCAATGTTGGAGTCCAGTGGTGCAGCTCAACTGGGCGAGGGAGGAGCCCAGCGGCCGGCAGTCGGCGGTCGTCGATTGTCCCGCGACAATATAGTCCTCCGTCGGCACGCTGAGAATTGATGAGCAGATTGGAGGGCTTGATATCACGATGAACAATCTGACCGCCGGCCGCCGGACTCCTCCCTCGCCCAGTTGAGCTGCACCACCGGACTCCAACATTGCAAGCCTTTTTTTTTTTTTTTTTTTTTTTTTTGGGGGGCGGGGGGGGGGGGGGGGGGGGGGGGTACATTTGCAGGCCTACTGTATGAATATATGCATAAAGGAATTGAGATACGAATGTATGAATTGTGTGGAATACGTATGAATTGTGTGGAATACATATGAAATTACAAAATTGACCTTCTAGTTAACACCAACTTAACGGATTAACAAATAGAGGACTATAGTGAGTAAAAATACAAAAGTCTGGGACTATATTAGGTCATCAAAGTCGTTTAGGACGAAATCGAGTAAAACCACTATAGTTGATGACTATTTTGAGTATTAACTCTTATAAGATTATTATAAACTTATATATAGGTTGAAGTAAAAAACAAGTAATTTATGTAAAAAAGTATATATTAATTTCATTAGGGGTGTGTTGATAAAGAGTTAGAAATTAATAAAAAGTGTAAGAAAAGGTGATGACAATTTCATAATTACAATAGTGCATTTAGAGACGATTGGTTGTGTATTCACAAATAATTAATAATGCACACATATGAGTGCAATATCAATTATTAATGGGTGCACTATAAATTATTTTCAAATATATTGTTGTAATTATTAAAATGACATTACATTTTTTTTAATTAATGTACAGTTAAAATTAATCCATACTTTTTATATGGGCACATATTTTCACTTGAATACACACATATGAACAATTGTGTTCGTTAGTGGCTCATTTCCAAATGCAAATTCTTTGCTTCGGAATTTGACGATGTGATTTTCAAGTATGTACTCAGGAAATGTTACAAATATATTGATTTTCTTGCTAATTTTGGTCAGAGTAAAGGGAGTAGCACAATAGTCTTAAAGGATCACTAAATAAATTGTTAGAGTTCCTTTTAAGTGATACAGGCGAAACCCCAGAAAAGAATATAGTTCCGTGTAAATTGTAATCAATTAAAACTTACTCAATTTTCTTTGTTTTTTGTTTTTTGTTTTTGTTTTTGTTTTTTTTTTTTTTTTGTTGAAAATAAAAGGCTAATTCATTACTAAATTTTATTTATCGTTAAATACCCGTGTTAAGCGAATTAATACCGTCAATAATAAGCTCGAGAATGGATGTAAATCTTTCCGGTTATGGGCTTGTAAAGATGGTCACTATAGTGGGCCTTTGGGACTATAGTTGGGCCTGGGCCGTAAGCAATCTGGGACGATTTTAAAGTTAAATTTCACTTTCCCACCTAAACTAACCGCCAAAGATTAAAGCTGTGCAGAAAAGCAGTACCGAAGCAGATCTCAGATAGTCAGACAATTACCTAGTTACCGCTTTCTCATTCCTCGGCTCCTCGCTCTCCGCTTCTATTCGTTGTCTGCTTCCTATACTATAAGGTGCCGTTTCTATCTCTTCTTTTGTTGATTTTCCATTGTATTTGGACGTTTTTTCGTTGTGGATTTTACCAATTTTTTCTTGAAATTTGTGATGAAATCTGGAATCGGCTTCATGGTTGTTCCATTTTAAGCCGTTTCTTTTGTGGAATCGGAGAAATTTGTTTCCTTTTTGGGTATTTGAACTTGATTGTTTCGTTAACCGGTAAAGATGCTAAATTAGAGAAAATTTCCTTGTTTAAACCCTCCCACCCACCTACCAATTTCCTTTGAATAAGCGCAAAATTACAAGTGGAAGAGAGAATTTCCGACTAAGAGAAAAACCCTATAACGTTTTATTGGCCCTAATTTACTCTTCCCGTTGTTAGAATGGCTGGAAAGGGTGGAAAGGGGCTTTTGGCGGGAAAGACCACAGCTGCGGCGGCGGCGGCGGCGAACAAGGACAAGGACAAGAAAAGGCCAGTTTCTCGATCTTCTCGCGCAGGTCTCCAGGTAAATTACCTGTCTGTGTTTCGTTTATTTCTTTTATATAATTTTAATTTTCGTAATATAATGGGTTAACTTAATTACCAACCCTAATTGAATCACTTTGTTGGGTATGATTTGAAGAAAGTTATTTCCCCTTTTTACGAAGGCCAAAAAAATATAAAGAAAATTGCTGGGCTGTAGTACTCTGCTGCTTGGTTTGGCAGCAAATTTTACCTTTTATTGTTGTTTCCTCCATCACAATATACTATGGTTGTGTTGTGTCTTTATTGACCATCCAAGGATTTGAAGTGCAATGTTTCTTTCGCAGCTTTTATTGATTGATATTATGAATTTATTATCCCATGTTAAACCTAGCATTACTCTGCATAAGATTGGGTTGCTGTCGAAACAAGCATATCGGTTGTGATATCATTTTGGTTGACGTCTTGTGTGATGTAGTTAATATTCACGGGCAGAAATTGGGAGTGGGATGAGTTCATTACACTATACTGCACTATATTGTGTCTTATTGATATGAACTCATGTCCTAACTATGCCACGAGAGTGTAGGTTTGACCTAGGTTTAATATATTGGTCTAAATTCTTAGCAATCTCCGATGTGATAATTGAGATGCATCACTTACTGTATGATGACTAGAGGCTTTTACTAGTACATTAGGTGATGTGTTCCTTAACTGTGTTTGTGTTGTGTTCTCGGGCTAAAGCACGCGTCACAGGGCGATTAGGGTTATTGGGGGTTGTTTGTAGGTTGTTATGTTGAGAGGTAAATTAAAGGGATTAAGGAACATGGATAATAGGAAGGTTTTGAGAGTTTTCCCACCTCTTGATTTTAACTTAACTTCTTTCTTGCTTGTTATTTTATTAGAATGAAAATCACCTTTATGTAAGAGGGTTATTTGACTAACTAAAGCATAAAAAGGAAAGGAGAATCATTAAAGCTCCTTACCAATTATTTGCTGTCTCTATAGGAAATAAATCAATTCTAATAGTAAGGATAATAAATCAAGTCTAAATGTCTAATAGTAAAGATATTTCCTTAATCATATCAGTTTGGATCTGTAAGTCTCATGTGCGAGGAAGCGAATACACAACTGGTTAATTGTTTGGTCTATTTTGAGTACTTTTGATGTTGATATTGTCCTATGATGTTTTGGACAAGTTCACATGGGTGGAGCTAATCACATAGCTCATTAAAAGAGTACGCTTGTGCTCAACACCACTAATTCCTTCCCAGTAATCTTCCAGTCTGTTATTACAGTTTACAGGATTATGTATGGTGAAGCACTAAGTTCTTTTTTCTCTGTGGGGTTTTAGTTTCCAGTTGGGCGAATTCACCGTCAGCTGAAGACCCGAACCTCAGCTCATGGCAGGGTTGGAGCAACAGCCGCGGTTTACACAGCGGCAATCCTCGAGTATCTAACAGCAGAGGTGCTCGAATTGGCTGGGAACGCCAGCAAGGATCTGAAAGTGAAGAGGATCACACCGAGGCACTTGCAGCTGGCCATTCGTGGAGACGAGGAGCTTGACACCCTCATCAAGGGAACCATTGCTGGTGGTGGAGTCATCCCCCACATTCACAAGTCCCTCATCAACAAAACAAACCCCAAGGAATGAATGAATGAAAACCATATGTTTAACTTTAGAAAAGGCTTCTGAGTAATTAAGACTCTTGTTGTTCTATCTTTTGCTTGTAATAAGCTGTTCTGTTAGGATGTTGTTTTGTTGGAATGGTACTTGTGCTGGTAAAATACTTTTGGCTGGATAAGTTTGATTTATCTGTAATTTGTGTAGTCTTGGATGTATTAACAATTGTAACGGAAGCCCTGTTCAACAGTACATTAGGATCTGGTTTGCCTGTCTTCAATCCTTATCTCAACACACTGCTTATAACTCAAATAATTGAAGATATACTCAAAACTTACTCCTATTTTTGGTTAAATACACTCTGCTTCTAAAGTTTTATAAGTTTGACCAAATCAAATTCAATTTTTCTTGCTCTATCTCAGAGTATCCATTCACTAGAAACTGTTCATTTTCTGTCTCAATTTATGCCAGATTTCAGATTAATTCTAAACCCCAGTTGTTCTCCCAGTCTGTCCCCGTAGCCCAAACAGCTTTCCAGTCAATTCTTGTTGATTTTGCGCACAATGGATCCATCTTCACACTTCTATTAACTTGAGTCCAATCTCCAGTAGCCCGAACTCTAGCCCGAGGAACCCTAACTCCTAGGTGTTGGTGGGAGTTATATCTCTGCCATATCATTAGAGTGCTGACTTTAAATCAGATGGTCAACCGCTCGAGCTAGCACTGCGGGCCACCACGCAATTCTTGCATCTAGTGTTTTAACACCGAGAATTAGGAGTAGGGACTTAGGAGGTACTTATTGGGTTTTGGGTTATACCCCCAAAAACAAAAACTGGAATAATTACTTCATTAGCTTTTCAAGCAATTTAGACTTTAGAACAACAAAACAAGAACACAGAAGAAAGAGGGAAAACTTACTAAGATTAACTGCACTGGACATCCTTAAAACTGTTGGAATCCATGCATCCAACAACAGTTGAAGCTGCCAGATGATCCAATCTTCCCTTATATATAATATCGGAAGCTAAGGCAAGTTTAGATCATGCTGGCAGCTTCAACCGCAAGTGGTGCATGCATGATTAGCCACAAAGCTAGATTTGAATTGGGAGATGAGAAGAGGAGATTTGAGATGAGAGATTTTGTCTTCTCTCTACCAATTAAGGCGTCTCTATAGACTATACATGCATCCACATGACACAGACAGTTTATATAAGAGAGTGGTGTGAGTAGGTTGAGGTAATTTGATTAATTTTGGGAGTAGTTGTTATTATAAGTGTTGGGGCATGGGTCCCGCACTTGGGTCATGGACCAATTTAGGGTGCGGTTTATGGGCTAGTTGAGCAATGGTAGCAGAAGGGGCTATGTGCTTGGCTCAAGGAGAAGAGGTTCCCATCGTGGTTCGCACAACTATGTGGATGATGGTTTAAAAATTACGTTTTTTTTTTTTTTTTTTTTTTTTTTTTTTTTTCACATAGCCCACTGCACGGACATTATTCTAATTCATAAATTATATTGTAATCCAAAAGTTTTATTATTCTAACACAAAATACATTATTCTAACACATAATGTACATTATTCTAACTCATAAAATTCAACGGCGTCGTTTTGAACTGCGGTCTACAGCTATGTGGACCACGGTCCATACAATAATTTGCCCCAGGGAAGCCCATTGTTTTAATTTCGTTATTATTGAGTTATAACTTTTTTAGATGATGAGAGAAATCTGTAGTCACTATATGAAGGTGTTTAGGTAAATCTCGCCTTGTGACCTTAATTGGCAAAAGATCACAATGAGGTAAATCAGTTTATGTTGCCCATAACTAACCGACTCAAACTACGAAGGTCAATAAGTCCCTCCTACCGAGAGTCAAACTTAAAACTTTGTACTTACCAAGCCAATAATTTAACCAACTTGGTTGGGATTACCCCGAGTTATTACTTCTAATCCCTAATCCGGAAACCAATTTGTTGGTTGCTTATAATTTGAGAATCATAATTTCATCTATAATAGATTTAATATCTTACACTATTATACACAATGCTCCTTTCTCTAGTACAAACTATTATTAAAATGTAAACGTAAATCACTTTAGTACAATTATACGTTATATATAAGCCATCAAAATGTTATACATATGTACACACGCAATGCACAAACACACACACGTGTGTGTGTATTTATACATATAGAGAAAAAAAAAAAAGCAAAAATATTAAGAAGACATTTGGTTGGTTTGAAGGAATTAGAAAGGAAATGAATTGTAATTCGGTGAGAAAAGAATAAGTTGAATTAAAGTAGAAATTCAAATTACATTGTTGGTAGGGAGAAATAGAATTATTGAGAATGAGAAGGGAATAAGTGGTATAAAGACTAATGTCCTTGTGGAATAATAATTAAGGGTAAAAAAAAGTTTTTTTTCTCCCTTTTTTACTTTCCTTTTCCCATTGAATTGTAATTCATATGAGGGAGGGTATGAATTGCAATTAACAAAAGGAATTGCAATTTCCTACAATCAAACACTATAATTCAGGTAGCAAAAACATTATGTTGTAATTGAATTGCAACTACATCCAACCAAACAGCCCATAAGAGTTGCAAATACCATTACTTTTTTTTTTTTTTTGAACACGGTTGACTCTATTACAAGATAGTATCGGGGAACAACAGAGGTGCCACAAATTAAGTAAACATACACCACTACTTATTAAGATATAAACGTACGTTAATCACTACTTCAATATAATTATATGTTACATATAAGTTATCCGGACATTATATTATTCATACATATAAACAAACACATGTGTATATATATAATGTGGGGGCAGGGGGAATAAAAGCAGAAGTATTGGGAGAGTGGTCCAAAGGGAATAGCAAATAAAAAGAGGCAGAAGAGCATGAGAAAGACAAGGTGAATAATATTGTCACGCCCACGCCATGGCTACCCAACCCCATGCGGACAAACAAGGCCGGTAGTTTAGAGTTTCTAAATCTTTATATGTATATTTATATGGTTTTAACGTTAACCCTAGTAAAAGAAAGAAGCTACTTTTCCATTGTTTTGGTTTAATGCTTTTATTAATTAGCATTGGCCTGAGTAATAAGGATGTGATGATCACCTTTAATCACTTCCTCACACTCGTGCAAATGTCAGTCCCCACCCACTCCACATGTATCTAACATGTAAACAAACTTTTTTTTTATCCACTAAACATAGCCTAACACATGGGTCACTTTCATATACTTTTCCACCATCCACCATATCATTTACTCTCTCTATTTCTATAAAATGAGAAAGTCTACACTATTGACACATGTAATAATACTATTAGCTACATATATATATATATATATATATATATATATATAGGGATGCACTCAGGTGCGAATAAGTGTTCAGGAGGGAAATGCGAACGAATCAGCGCGCGACACGTGTCCAGATCTAATAACTTAAAAAAAAAACGCGGTGGCATTTTCGTAAATAATTGAACATTGAAGTGCAAGTAAAATCACTTACAAGTGCACCTACTTTCACCTATAAGTGCATGTAATTTTGCCTTGTTAGCATTCACTTTCCGCAAACATTCATGGACCTGGGTGTGCTTATAACTCTATGTGCAACTATTTATAACTATAGGTGCAACTAATTATAACTATAGGCGCACATACTTTCACCTATAAATGCATGTAATTTTGCCTTGTTAACGTTCATTGATCTGAGTTCAGCGGGTAGTAATACCCCTGAAAATCACTCGCAAACATTCATACACCTGGGTGCAACTACTTATAACTATGTGTGCAACTACTTAGAACTATAGGTGCAAATACTTAGAACTATAGGTGCAACTAAGTATTGATGCTCAGTGTAAATTTTTACTTGCACCTATAATACATTTTACATGCACTTGTAATACATTTTACTTGCACTTCGATGTCTAATTATTTACGAAAATGCCACCGCATTTTTTAAAAAAATCAGTGTTTCTCATCCATTAGATCTGGACACGTGGACGGACAGAATCCATTCTTATTTCGCACCTGGGCGAGCCGTTCGCACCCGAGTGCAACTATATATATATATATATATATATATATATATATATATATATATATATATATATATATATATATATATATATATATATATATATATATATATATATAGTACGATATTTATTGTCTATACCTCATGTTTTTGAAAGATGACTGATGTTGGGGCATAGTAAATGGAGCGAAGCAATAATACTTATCTGTGGTTTGAACTTGAATCAGATTCACTTAGTGGTACGATACATGGTAATTTTATAAATATATCATGAGGATTGTTCATAAATATGATATTTGTAACAAAAAAAATCTCTCCTAAGGGGGCCGGGTAATGCCCCCCCCCCTAAAAAAAAAAAAAAAAAATCAAACTAGTCTCCCTCGGGCTAGCATAACAGTTGACCACATGACCTCAAGTTACATTAGAAAGAGACAGAGTGAGAGTACTCTCACCCCACTTCAAATATTATTGGAGTTGGGTTCCCTAGTTTATGGAGTTGGGCTCCCCAGGACGGTTGGATCGGAGTAGGGTGTAGGTTGGACTTCTTGTGCGCACAATAAAGTGATAAATTATTGACTAAAAGATTGTTCATGCAACTCGGATTTATATCCTCTAGCGACTCTTGGAGCGAGGAACTAGAGGCTCGGATTAGTCACGTAAGCTGAGAGACTTATATATTAAAAAATCTTACTCCTAACCTTTATGTAAAAAAAAAAATCATACTCCATTCATTTGACTATCCCTTTCAATGCCCTGACGACTTCCAATATATTCTTGCCCCATCACTCTCTTAGCTTGCATTCCTCAATGATAAAATGCGAAAAATCTTTTGATATAAGTGTGCAATTTTTTGTAAGAGATCTCAAGATTAATTTTCTTGTATATCAAAATATAACCAAAATGTTTTGTTTAATTTCTAGAAGTTTTATGGTGGAATCATTATAGAAAAACTTCTTTCGCTATAAGTGTTTATTGGGCCAAATAAACACTATGATTAATGCATTCGTTGGAATTCCATAGTTCTAAAATTATTGTTTAATTAATCTATCTCACAAGCATAATTATTCTTAATCGGATTACTTTTCTTCGATGCGAAGCTTTCGTAATGGGTTTTAATTGATTTACCCTTTTAAAAGGTACAATAACATAATTGGATATGATGATAAAACACTAATTAACACACAACAATAAGATGGTTGGATTTATGCTTTATCGATCTCTTGAAGATGTGATTCATAGCGTGTGAAACTTTTTCAGTTTAACTAAAAATTTTAATTAAGTTTGAGTCATTTTTTGAGGTCTTATCTAACATGAAAATGATTAGTTTTTATGCATGTTTAGGGTTTTAGTGTACTCTGGTTAAGAAAATACAAATTTAATCAATCTCAACGTGTGACTATGTGAGGTCTTAATGTACTAACTGAGAAAACATGTTGTCTATCCAAAAAAAAAAAAAAAAAGAGAAAATGAAAAAAAAAAATCTCTTTATGATATGAAAAACCGGCGTCCTTCTATTGGACACCTTTACGGTCATAACTTAGAGGGATTGATTATGGGTTATTTATGGACCAATTATCAATTAAGATTAATGTCATTTCATTTACACCAAAACTAATGTCATTTTCTATTTGTGCCGATAAGACCTGTCCTCAAGTGTTGAAATGCTTGAAACCTCTAGTTAAATTGTGTCATATGTTGAGTTCAACTGAGAATTATTGACAAAAATTAAACTCATAATATTTAAATATACGTGTTAAGTTTCAATAATTTGACCGCCCATTTTAAGTTTCAATAATTTGACTGCCCATTCATTGATTGTAGTTGTAAATTTTAGTTTTAATATTATTATGAATATTTTGTTGAAATTTTAAAACAAGTGAAATAAAAACTACTTTAAAATAGTTAAATCAAATATTTAATTTCGTAAAAAGGTCAAATCAAAGTATGTTCATTTTGTTTTGTCTTTTTACTGAGTGTATCAAATTGAAAGTTTGAAGTAGGGGTTATATGTCCCATCTCCGAACTTGACAAGTCGACAATTGTCATCCGTAATTAACGTTGGTTCTTCTTTTTACTTATGATCCGACCGTGGCCGGCCGCCAGTCTTTATTATATGC